ACATACTGTCGAATCAAAAACCCTCCTTTTTTGATGTTGGTTAAAAATCGACTAGCATGAAGCTCCTAGTCGAGACGAATCAAATGAGCACAAACACGGCGGAATTGCTTTATTTTATTACAGAGTTCCCATGGCTATTTACCGTCTCCATCATCAGACCCTGAATATCACATAGGATCGGAGTCCTTATTAATTAGACTCAAACACATTCAAATTCGATGGTATTACATAATTTTGTTACAGAGATCCCATACTCCTAAACCATTCATCATCAGCTTCATCATCAGCTCAGCAACATCAGATGGTGACCATTAGATGCAAAAATCTACATAGATTAAGATGATTTCTGATAAACAGTGTATATGCCTACAAAATTTGAGGGTTTCCCTCGATTTTCCCAGGATCCCATCATCAGATCCTGACCTGGTGACAATGGGACCACCTCTGACGTATGACCTACCAAATAAAAAAAGAATTATTCAAATCGGTTTATAATTGCCGGAGTAATCGCGTAACAAATATACAAAAAAAAAAAAAAAAAAATACAGTCGAATTGAGAACCTCCTCCTTTTTTTGAAGTCGGTTAAAAAAACCCTGCAAATTGGTTACAATTCAAGTTGTTTACACGATTTTTCGTTTTACTTAATTAATTATTAAATATTTCTTTAATTTTTGTTTGGAATTAGATTTGAATTATTTAGATTAGTTTAGAATTAGATTTTTGTTAAAATTTTTTTTTTTTTCGTTCATAAGTTAAATTAAGTGTATAAAGTTATAGAGGTTTTGTTTATTTGGGTCCATAAAAGTAGTTGAATATTAATTTATTTAGGTTCTGAAATAACTTGGTGTTCAACAACAGAGCAGTCGAAGCACTATATCGCACATTGAAGATTATACTGGATCGGCTACAAACTCACTTTAGTGCAAGCAAAATTCTATTATCAGTTTGGATTCAGGACAAGTGATGCCGGTGTGGAACTTTTGGAAAATATATTTAGTGCCTGGGAGGATAAACAGGATGCCCTGGGTGTTTTTTGTGATTTATCTAAGGCATTCGATTACGTTTTTCATGAAACTTTAATCAGGAAATTGCATTACTATGGAATTAGGAACACTGCTTTGGACCTTCTTATCTCTTATTTGGGTAGTAGGATCCAGAAAGTGGATGTTAATGGACAGAGATCCCTGGGGTCTCTGGTCACTATGGGGGTTCCGCAGGGCTCAATTCTCGGCCCATTTTTATTTCTTGTTTACATAAATGACCTACCTAATGTGATAAAAGATAATCAGGAGATAGTACTATTTGCGGATGACACTTCACTTTTATTTAAACTTAAACGACAGCAATCAGTAACTGATGACGTGAATAGCACTCTCTGTAGGTTGTAACTGTAACTAGTTCAATGTTAATAATTTACTTTTAAACGAGAATAAAACGAAATATATTCGATTTTTTACACCTAATGTTAGGCAGGTAAAAAAAAAGTTCTAATAAATGGCAAGGAGTTGGATCTTGTGAACACCACAAAGTTTTTTGGTATAACACTAGACTCTAAATGGCAGTGGGGCCCACACATTGACGGATTGTCGAATAGACTCAGCTCTGCAGCATACGCGGTTTACAAAATTCGTCAATTAACCGATGTAGAAACAGCTAGACTGGTGTATTTTAGCTATTTTCATAGTGTAATGTCATACGGTATTTTGTTTTGGGGAAATGCTGCTGACATTCAAAGTATCTTTGTGTTGCAAAAGAGAGCTATTCGTGCAATTTATAATCTCAGTTATAGGCAGTCACTGAGGGGTAAGTTTAAAGAAATTGGTATTATGACAGTCTCAATACATATATGAAAATTTAGTGTATGTAAAGAAAAATAATCATTTATTCACAAAGTTTAGCGACATTCATAAAATAAACACTAGAAATAAAAATAATCTCGTGTTACCAACCACTAGACTACAAAAAGTAAGCAAGTCTTTTCATTGTCAGGGTGTGCGATTTAACAATAAGGTGCCAAGCAAATTCCATGAATTAAGTATTAACAACGTCTTTTGTAAAGCTAAAACTGTGTGAAAAGGGTTACTACACTATTACAGATTATTTAGACGACAAATTTGCTTGGGCTTGATGCTGTTCACTCCCACATTTACGTTCCCATCTTTGTTGTTAAGTTTGAAAGTGATGGATATTTAATATTTTTTTGGTGTATTTCGTATTTTGTTTCTTTTAATTTGTTTATTTTTCGTTGAATTTGAATTGTACAGTTTTTTTTTGTGTAAGTATGTAAATGTGAGCATAGTGTCGGCTTGTAATGTTAATTCACATTCTAGTAACTTTCTGGTGGTTTTGAGTGTTTCCACGGCCTACCCAAATGTCCTGCTGGCGGTAGTGTCATGATTCGGGTCATTGATCTTGACCAATATCGGTTAGGCTACACGATGGCTGGAGCCTGTATGCCGTCTTTATGGATCCAGACACTATGGTCCTTTCTTCAAAAGGCCTACCCAGACCCTATACTGTGTACTCTGTGGTTTGTTTCGGCGTTTCTTCCATGAGTGAGTCTTAGGAAATGCCGGCTCCTTCTAGCTGTAAAGTCCGACTTGTAAAAATATCTGAAAAGATTTACTTATGGAAATAAATATCATTTAGAAAAGTATCGAAGGCAACCAGGGTATCATAGGATCCCTCCTACTGGTGGTACTTTTAGCTGGTGACTTTAGACAGACCCTCGAGGTTATTAATAGGGGTAAGCGAGCAGATGAAATAAATGCCTGTTCAAATTGGAGTAGATTGTATGCCAACAGACAGTGACGACATGATCATACTGAGACGTAAGTTCTGTCAAAATGTCGATAACACAGATGACCTGAAAAATAACGTCTATCTTCAAATATATACGGGCAATCGGGAACTGCTGTGTGAAAGGCCAATTTTAGCGCCGACTAATGAGATAGTTAACCATATAAACGAACAAATCATGTCAGACGTAGCGGGGGATGTTGTTGAATATCTCTCAGTAGACAATGTTATGGACATCGAATAAGTCACATCATACCCTATAGAGTTTCTCAACTCTTTCTCTTTAGAATTATCAGGAGTGCCTGCCCATAAGTTGAGGCTAAAATTTGTTGTTCCAGTCTTATTAATGAGAAATCTAGACGCGCCAAGGCTATATAATGGTACACGGGTACAAATTAGACATCTGGGACATAACATTATAAAAGATATAATCATGACTGGAATGGCAAAAGAAGAAAATGTTTTGATTCCCCGTATCCTAATAAATTTCGACTGATTTGCCATTTCAGTTTAAGAGTGCAGTTTCCCCTGTAAGTAGCATTTGCAATGTTCTAAGTGTGTCTAAAGTTGCAGGTGTTCATGTAGAAAAAATATGTTTTGCCCAGGTGGCAACTCTATGCAGCATGCTCACGTGTATCAAACCCGTAAAATCTTTGTTTTGGCAAAATATGTAAACCCCAAAAACTTGCAAAATAATTAGCCTAAAAAATTTAATATGCTGCCTAAAGTCACTATTCCACGCTATATCATCTATATAGTCACTATATCACGATTCTGATTGTAGAATGACCTCTCTCACTACAAAGGTTTTAAATAGAAAGAAGGTCTCGAACCTATTTAAAACTTTTTTTTCAAGTGATACTCGTAGTATAGCAGATACCTAAAGATTTATTAGGCCAAACCATCTTTGAAAAACTAAACCCAACATTTACAGCTCATAGATCAATACTAAGTGCAGAAAGTAATTTCCAAATTCCATTTAATATTTATTGTGACCAATTTGAGACTTGAACAGCCGTAACTGTACGGCTACATGAGGAAATGCGCCCGCATGTTCGATAATTTATTCTGTATGACTGGCGCTGGGAACACTGACCCTTAATACCACCTGTCCCATTAAGCATGTTGCAATGTGGGTAGACCGTGCTTACGATATAATTGCCAATAGTTTTGATGTTTACGAGTTCGCTTAACTTTGATGTAAAGGCAGTAATTTTGTTGCTAGTACAATAGTATACGTATTTTGTTGTTTGTTTGTTGCTTGTACAATATTGTCTAAAGACAATTAAGGGACCAGCCATAAATTATTACATCAAACGAATTTTAGGACTTTTTAACCCCTCCGTCGTCCTTGTCATATGCTGGAGCATGGTTCGCTCACGGTCCAATGCGTATGGTAATTGCATTATTTATTTAAGAAGTCTTCTGTCATATAGTTCTTAATGGAAATCAACAAAACAGGCTCGCATTTTATTAAGGAAGACCAGCGAAATGGCAGTGATAATGTACATATAGGTACCTTTTTATAAAAATATGTATAAAATCATGAACTATAGTTACTCAAAGTGATAATACTTATACACACTGACCTTTATTACACGAGAGAGGTCAGTGCTGCATAAACTGATTTCTCTAATTCACATTTAACTGCGTCGACATGAATATTAGTAATAATTGGTTATCAAACAACTAACTCGTACTCCTGCGTTGTCAACTCTGCTCGAACCAGAAGTACTTAGTACTTTAAATGTTTTTTTTTATTTAAACTAAACAAAAAAAAATACAGCAATTAATAGTTAACTTATATTTATTAACAATCATTTGATTTTTATGTGATAATTGTGAAAGTGAAGTAAAATATCTAGTCTAAATTATTGTCGAAAGCTCCATTTATTTTTAACACGATTTTTTTTTGCCGGAGCATACCTGTACAAAAACTGTTTGAAACAAATTATGTAATATGTGTACGACTTGTTTTAAAAACATTTAATTTTAATAATAACTTGAAATATAACAATCAAAATCACTGCGTCTAGAGTATTATTTAACAGCAAATACCCAACAACTGACCCTCATGTCAACAAAAGTATCTTTTTACATTTCATATGTTTTGAACGTACTAAATGAGATTTGTGAAGAAGATTGACCTTTACAGGTTTAGTTATTTCTCCATCACTGTCAATAAGGTTAAAAAGGTTGATTAATGTATTATACGATCCATTATGTAATAAGTTACCTGATAAGGAAGTAAATTGGAGTAATCCAAGAATGCCAGCTGTTTGTCATGAAGAAATTCCACCGGTTGAGCGTCCGCTTGCAGCGTCAAGTCAGCTGCCAGCGGAGTGAATGTCTAGAAAAATAAATAATGAAATTTAAATTTATTTGCTTCATAATAATTTAATTACATAAATTGCCACATAATGTTAATTAAATCGTTACAATCGACAATCGTTTAAATTAATAATAATAATTTAATCGGACATCTGACACACAACGCCATCTAGTTTCAATCTAACACAGCTTGTACTATGAAAGCTAGATTGACTTATAGCTTACTTATATACTTTTTTTTCGTTAATACATACATTACGTAATGTAATACATAGAAAACACCCAAACTTCGAAACAAATATATGCAGATCATACAAACATTTGGTCCGACTCAGGAATCGAATCCGAGACCTCAGCACGCAGTCGTATACGCTACCACTGCACCACCGAGGCAGTCAATTGTAACATAATAATGTAAACATAGAAATATTGTAAAATGATGTGACGACTTGAGTTAATGCTGTTCAAAAAAGTAATGAATACTTTATATGGAGTGAATTTTTTGAAAAATGTTAAGTTTTTAGATCTAATAAAAATTAATCCGTTGAAGATTAATTTTATAGGCTAGGCAAGCACTTAAGGTCACAATCAAGTTAGGCTTTTATTTTGAGAAATGTAACTACGAAAAGCGACCCGTTTGTAGACGAGAATGAATTTAGATGTAGCAACTTGTTTTTTTTTTTAATTCTGATCTAACATTCTGTATGCATATGTACGAGTATGGAAATAAAATTTAAATTGGCTAATATATGAATTTCATAGTTATTATTAACTAGCCGCCCGTTATGGCTGCAATATAAAAAAAATAGCACTCAGGGATAATATACCTTTCTAACAGTGAAACAATTTTCAAAATGAGATCTGTGGTACCGGACCGGACACCACGAACATACAAACTAATGAAATTTACCTCTTTGACTCGTGTAAGCTAAGAACTGAAACGAAACTTCACCCAGCATCAAATGTGTTATGGATTTTAAATGTTAACAAATTGAAATTTAACATACGAGTGACATCTAGTGTCGGATAGTTATATTATTCAGAAATATGTAAGTTAGTTTCTTAACAAACAAAAACGAAATACTATAATAATCTAAGGTTGAGCACTGAATGCATTAAAATTCATTTTACTAATGTATCCCAAATTTATAGAAGTTGCGATATACCTACACTATATTTATTAAATACAAGGTTTAAATTTTTTTCTTATATTTTACAAGCACAGCTTAAAATTGTACTAGTCTGTATTGTCTTATAAAACAATGATCATAAATTTAAAGGTTAATCAACTTACAAATAATAATTAAATTTAATGCCTGGTTTTTTCCTATTCAACCATAGATGGCGCTTTGGCTCCTGACAAAATATGGCTCAAATTGTAATTTTTAACAAACTTATACATAATATATAGAAACAACTCGAGAGATTAGATTACGAAACATTGTAATTTAGCTAACTCAGCCACTATGCGCTATGTGATCTCCATATAAGAGTTTAACACGTGGATATTCACAGCATATAAATAACAGGAGACACGTGTACAAAATGTATATTGACAACTTCGATTTATATAAAAATAAATATAGTAGGTACCTACAATGTTTGCATGTGCATGTGTATAGATACTTTTATGTTTATTACTTATGTTATAGAATCTATTGTGTAATTATTTTTTTGTAGAAGGTATATATTACGTTTTATTTTGACCTGTGCGATGATTTTGACGTACCCATTGTGACATGTCTGAGGAACAGATAAAAGTAAACGTAAAATTATCTAAATTAAATAAAATTTTAGCTTAAGAGAACTTTATATTTTTTTGGTCTTGATTATCAAGCTAGTTTTACTGAAGGAAGTAATTTTTGATTTTATATTTATCAGTAGACAAATAATATTAACACACCGTGTTTTGTAACACACCACAAACAATAAAACTTATATAACAAGTTGCGCCATCTCTTAACTATATGCGAAAGTAAAACTAAAGGTTTATTTACCAAAGCGGGCCATTTGACATCTTGTCCTTCATAATTTCTGGGAGCCCAAACTAGAGTTCTTTCCACTAAAAAAACACGAAACGTCCGTCGGGAATACACTGCCACCCACTCACGTCGTTGCCAGTCTACACCGTCGTATTCCACTAACACCTGAAACAAAATGAAGAACACGTAAATATTATCATACTATTAGAAAATTTTCGACAACTGACAAATCGTTTTTAAAATTAAATCTAAAAATATTCCGTGTATTCAATCTGACTTTTAGCGACATCGTGTAGCTAGTAGCAGTACTACAACAGGAACAGTGTAAGTTACGATATTAAACCGCTTATGAAGACTCAATAGATGGCGGCACATCCGCAAATGGGCCGCAATGGTCGTTTTTCGACCCCGCCCAAACAGTATGTGAAAGAGAACTATAATATTGAAAGAGACAACAATAATAACAAATCAACTTTCTATCTCCTATACCTATCTCATAACGTAGTACCTACCTACTCCGATGAAGTTGCACAGACGCGATATGCATAGCTATAAATTACCGACACAAAAGAAATTTACAATCTGAAAAGTGGGTGTTATTTGCATCTTAACAGAAGTACAAGGCTTTGTATTTATCTCCATAGAAGCTGTTACTTATTGGAACTAACAGTTTCTCGGAACGCACTTATTTTTGCTTATGTCTTCAATAGGTTAGGGTCTTTAAAATAAAAAAGGGACTAGTTATTTTCGTTTCCGTCAGAGATCAAAGGTAAAGTATTTTTCGACAAAGATATAAAGTAAGTCGGACGGAACTCCCGCCAAGACAAAACTGAGGCACCGTAATGGCGGCAGCTCTCTATGTGCGAATGAATTTGGGGCTGCCAAGTTACCCAAATTGATGCCCTAAAAACACAGTCAATAAATTAAAAAAAATTGTTCGAAATTTTTGCTGTTTCTATTGTTTAATATCCCAAGTGCTGAGTTTTTTTTATATTAATCTTTTACTTTGAGAGGTTCTTGAAATTTCCTCTAATTTCGAATTGTGGTAAAAAAGAATCGTTAAATATTTGCCACTATATCTATACAAATAAATAAAATTGGAGTGTCTGTTTGTAATATTAAAATAACCGCTTTTTACTAAATGTATATGTATGTTTATACGGTACATATGCCAAAATATTTTGTGTAAATATTGTCTGTCTGTCTGTTTGTTCCGGGTAATCTCTGGAACGGCTGGAGCGATTTCGCCGGGACTTTCACTGGCAGATAGCTGATGACATAAGGAGTAACTTAGGCTACTTTTTTTAGACTAGCTTCGCCCCGCGGTGTTGCCCGCGGTTATAACAACAAACGCGGGTAACACCGCGGGTCTCAGCTAGTCTTTAATAAGACTTATTTTGTGTTCTATCCCGGAATGTGTTCGGCACCTAAGTTTAAAAAAGTCACTGTCATTGCTAACAAACTTTTCTAGAACTTTTGTGAGAATATATTTGTGTTGTCTTTCTTTAATATATCGAACTAGCTGACCCGCGCGGCTTCGCTCGCGTAAACTTTGTGAAAGAAAGAAAGAAAGAAAGAAACATTTATTTTGTGCAAAACCTAACAGTATAGAGGGCGCCACCTATTTACCAAATATTGACCTTATAGGGTTTTATTATTATTGGGTTTTTTCGGATAATAATATACCCATTGCCGCTGTAAAAAGTAGCCTATGTGTTTCTAGGTCATTTTTTATTTGTGGACTAAATCTTAATTTTAAATCTCTAATTCTTCCACGCGAAACATGTTGTATAAATAGGTCTTTACCTATAAAATTGCCGTTTTGTATGCACTAAGTGAAAGTACTTATTTTTTCAAACTCTTTTATTTCTGTTATTCGAAGTAATCACCCATGCAATCGACGCATCTTTGCCAACGCATTGGCAGTTTATTGATGCCCTTCTTGTAAAAATCAGCTGGACGGGAGGCAACAAACTCTTCAAAGGCATTTTGTACTGCCACTCGGGAATTTAATTTTTTACCCACTAAAAAGTTGACTTGGGCTTTAGTTAAGAAGGTTTTGGGATGAAATAAGAATGGGATGAAAACGGAACAAACCATTATACTACATTTACGTTCCCACCGAACCGGCGGCGTGACTCCAGTACCTACATCAGGATCAGCAATTGAAGGAAACTTCTAGTTTTGGAACCCGCAAAAGATTTAAAGATTACTGTAAGCAAATCTACTTGTAATTGTGTAGAATAACAGGTTTAATATTTATCTTAAAAATATTATGTGGAGCTTAGTTTACCAACGAAACGTTCCTACAACGTCTTTTTGTATAATACAAAGAATTATGTAGGCATAGGTAGGTATTACGTGAACGCGTGCAATGTGGAACCTTGATTACTTTTGGCAGGGAACCAAGAATGGTGCCATCAAAGAGATTAGTGTGAGATGAATGAAATAGAATTAAATAGCATCAACGCTGCCTAATGTACCTTTAGCTTTGAACATTTGGGTGCGTAGTTTTAGTTCCATTTGTATTTTCTGTAGTATATGAAGTGGTAACAAGACATGTAAGCTTTTAGTCGATAAGTATTAGCTAGATACTTTTATTTCAGCCGGGAATAATAATATGGCTTGCCTACAATGGTTGGTTTTGTTTGTTATGCTTTATAAGAAACTTTTTGTCTCGCACAACGAACCTTTGGATGAAATTGTTGTCTGCGGTATTTCCTTCATAAGAAAGACGGTACGTTACGCGCTTTTAGGGCCGAAACACATTTCCGCGTTGCGGTGCCGCAACTTTGGAATCTGCGACGCGCCACACATTCAAGCGTTTTGACGTCACACTTGTTGACAACAATTTCAGTTTATTTGTAGCACGTTGGAAACTAGACTTTTTAACATAGCCGTAGTATAAAAAAAATTCAGATGTTACCACAGAATTGTTGACGTCTTTTGGTTGAGGAACGCCCCATGTACGCCCGGTACGCCCGGTATGGGATACTAGTCACAACTCTCCATCAGGATTCATAATCTTATTAAGTTTTTGTATCCAGTATCTTCTTTCGTCGTCTCTTTAGTTTAGTGTAATATCTACTTAATAATAAAACTGCAATACACTTATCACGATCCATGGCAGAATCACGTCTATCAACTCTCACTAAGGGCAAAACAACGCTTTATTTTGCGGTAACGCAACGCAACGCTCAGCTGTGCCAGCTGTCACCCCTAAATGCTTGGATTGCGGGCGTTCAAGGACGGCAGTATTCAATTGCCATCAGGTGGCTCGTCTGCTCGTTTGCCTTGTATATCGTTAAAAAGATCTTTTGTATCATTCAAGAAGTTGAGTGATTATTTAACAAAATTAAAATTTGCCTTAAATTAAAACTGCCTGTTATTTTAGAGTAAACGATGACGTGACGACAAAATTTAAGAGATAGTAGTAGAATATTTTGGGAAAAGCCTTAAAGATTTGAGTTTAATATTTTCTGACTTTCCGCTTTAAAAGTAATAGTAGTACTAGTACTTTAATAGTAATACTTTGGTAGTTCACGCCACAAGCATAATAAACAAAAACATAAAAAGATAATAGTAAGACATAAACATACATACATGTATGTGTGTACTCGTATACACCTAAATCGACACATTACTTAAGTTAGTAAGGTATTTTATTTTTGCAAGATTGGACTCCAATAAGAAACGTTCTTTACATATTTAAATTTTAAAGAGTAATTTTATAGTTCCTAAGTTGATGTAAGGTTAACTTTTAAACTTTCGCGTTCCATGATAATTAATATTATTTCAGCCTGTGACCACGGCCGGTGCAACCTGGTCGAAACGTCAGGCAAACCAGAGGTAAGTAATACCCTAAATAAGAGATCGCGTTAATTCCCGTTAAATAATATTAATTATTTGATGTAAGGTTGTTTTTGTTTACAAATTTTATGTTGTTTCTTTTTTGATGGTCTGAGTTTTAAAATTGTAATAGTATTTAGTTTATTTTTGTTAAAATTAGCATAGATATAAGCGATTTGGTGTATACTGTGATGCTTATATTTTATTAATAAAGAATTGAATTGTGATAATGTAAATTCGGTAAAGTTTAGGTATGAACCACAGCGAAACTGGTTTGGTACCAAAATAGCACGCGGCGCTTACAAATGCCAATCGCGTCAGTTCAACAATATGTAAACAAACATAGTATTGCAGATAGTGCATTGAATACATTACATACTCGCTCTAATCTGTATTCATCCACAATACCTATTTTGAGTTCTACGCATTTAATGTATTAACATAATGTACCTAACCTAAATTTTACTTCCAAGAAATACGAGGAAGTTTAACTAGAAATATGTTCGAATCAAACTTGTTGAGTATCTTTATTTATGGGTCTTTAGTTTTTACTTATTGTTATTTAAATTCTTCTTTAAGGTGCACATAAGAGCACATAAGAAAACGGGTAACCAGGGCATCAAATTTGCTATTTTAATATTGTATCAATAGACTGTCGATCGAATGTCGCCGGCATGGTTTTGCACTTTTCGTATTCTACTAACTATGTGAGACCAATGGCCTGATGACTTATCATCACTTAACTGCCACTGATACAAATGCTGTCGATGTCTTTGTAATAGTTTGGTAAACGGTACATTATTTTGTAAGGAAATTATGTATTTAATTTTACATATATGGCAATGTTGTTTATACATTTTGTCGTCTGCGATACCTGGCCCGTTCCCGAGCTTGGCGGGCCGGGAGAGTTCTAAGCCTCTCCCGGTCCTGCTCCGCCATCTCCTTCGCAAGCATAACTTGCTCGCAGAAGGAGACGGCAGAGTTCCACGCACTCTAGCTCCGCACGATAGCCGCAATCAGGTTATCGAGCAAGAGAACTTCCACTCCGTTTGCCGCCACGAGGTCTCGCCTCTGCTCCACCCACGCCGGGCATTCTGCCAGCGTGTGGAGCGCCGTGTCCACGGTCCGACCATCGCAGTGGTGGCACTCAGGCATTGGCTCCTTGCGGATCAGACACAGGTGATCCCCGAAACATCCTTTCCCAGTGATCACCTGCGTCAGTCGGTATGTGAGGGTCCCGTGATGCCTCTCGAGCCAATGCTCAATAACGGGCCATAACTATTTCCCCCTGTGTAGAAATAATGAAGGAATTTCAC